TCCTCCTCCTCCTCCTCCTCCTCCTCCTATCAGGGGGGACGTGGGAGCGGCCAGATCCAGCTCATCGTCCTTCCCTGACTCGTCGGCGAGCGAGGGGGGGGGAAGTTTCGGGTTCGAGGCTCGAGGCTTTGGGACGCTTTCGCTGGTTGTCGGCGGTTTTCCAGCCTCGAGATGCTTGCTGGCAGCTGCGCCTCGCCCGGGGCGTTCCGAGGGTGCCTGGATCGTCCCGATCGCTCGCCGGAGACCCGAGCTATGACCCAAAAACCACATCCGACGGCGAGCGAGAGGAGAAGGTGAGAAGGCGAAGGCCTTCTCAGAAGGCAGCGGGACTTCTCAGAAGCCCTCGAGCCTTCTGAGAGGTTAGGCCGGGGGACTTCCGAGCCTTCTGAGAATGCCCGCCCCTTCTCACTTCCTCCCCCCGGGCTCGCCGCCAAGTGACCGTTGGATGCCAGAGCTTTCTGGTTGCAACCGACGAGATCGGTCGCTACCGCTTTCGCTTCAAATTCTGGTATTAGTCGCGACCAATCAGCTTCGAACTCGGTTGCCACCGACCGATGGCGACCGATCGGTCGCAACTGGTCGCGACCGATTTGGAGTGCCGATCGGTCGCTACCGATCGCGACCGAACGAACCCGGAATCTAATGATCTGGAGTTTCCACATCTGGCTTGCCTCGCCCTTCTCCATCTTTGGTGCACCAAGACACTTGCGCTAGAGAAGGAGACCACGGAAGGGTGGGGTGCTGATCGTGGCGGCTTCGCGGGGCCGCTGGTCCTGGAGCATGGGCCGTGGGTCACAGACCTCTGTGCGGCACCGTCCGCAGAGCAGCGGGTTGATTCCTGGAAGCAGGATTCTGGGTCATGGGGGGCGCCGCGGCTCAGATTCCGATACCGAGCGAGAGCACATAGATCGGGGGGTGGGCGGCATGTTTTCAAGACCATTTTGCCAACACGAGCGACTTTGTCTTTGCCGAACCCAATTCGGATCACGCTTCCAAAGGCGCTGTGATTGTCTTGCTAGAGAGGTGAAGGGTCTGTTTTGCGCATTGTCCTTGCGCGGGGTCTTGCCCAGGGCTTGATTCAGGTCGATGTTCGGTCTTTCCGCCCTCTCCCGATGTTCCAGGAGAGGCCTTCCTGAATGCACGGACTTGGACAAGACGCCAGTATCATAGTAGCGAGCTTCGGCAACGAGACCGCGAACAGAAGTCACTTGAGAGCAAGTGGGTCTGCCGCCTCGAAGTTTCGCGAGAGGCCCACCGGGAGCATCTTTGCACGACGGCTAAAACGCTTCGCGCATGCTTACCCACGCGAAGATTTCACGCACTGCCAGTTCTAAGTCTTCTGTTGTTTCCGTCCCCTCCTGCTGAAATTACGTGGAACGCCCATCGTGGAAAACGGCTCCCGAGGGAAGCGGGTCCCAGACCCCACAGGGCTTTCCCCAAGACCAGTCCTTCCTCCCCAGTCGTTTTACGGTTCGACTCTCCCAGGGCCCGTGAGGGGCCAGAAGGGGCCCGAAAACGGCCAGAAACTTGAAGGTCCCCTTTGAACCTGGAGCCGTGTCCTCCATGGTGAGCGGAGGTCGCCATCCATCTCCTCGATCATTTGCCCGATGCGTCTTGCGATGCCATGTGCAGTGCCTCTCGGGGGGCCGCGTGCCGAGTTGCGCCACGGGGCGGCGTGGCCGAGTTTGCGCCGCCTGTGGCGCGGCGCAGCGCGCAGCTCCCCAAGGGTGCCCGATCGAGTCGGGTGCTACCGAGTCGAGTCGCCTGCGGCCGCGCATGTCGCCCGAGCCAGCTCGTCGATTTACCAAGGGGGAAGAACCACTCCGACCCCCATGATTGGCGTTGCCTGAACGGTCCTGGGCGTTCACGAAACAGCCCTCCCCTGCTCGATTCCTGCCTCGGGTGCGTTTACGGCGTTGCATGTCGGGAGGCGTATTATGAGCATGATTGTTCTGCTCGATTGCTTCGTTTGGCATGGCGTGTCGCGCCGTCGGTTCTGGCTCAACGCGTTTTGGCGCGACACGCTATCCACAGCCCCTTGCCCAAGCTTCAACATTCCGAGCTGTTCCCAGCCCCCCGCGGAGAGGAGCGGCACGCTATCCGCTTGCAGGGCGCAGTGTGTCGCTGTGGCCGTCGCCGCGACACGCAGAGCAGACGTTCCCGACCGCAAGCAAAGAGCAGCGCCTCCTCCTCCTCCGCATGCGCGGCCCTCTTGAAGGGCAGCGGACTTCATCATCTCCTTGTGGTCTTTCTCGGGTCCTCTCTTCCGGGTCGTCTTCCTTCCTTTGTCCGCCCATCCCGTGCATCTGCCACTCCTCCTCCGCAGGCGCGGTGCGAGTGGGACCTCATGGAGGTCCTCCGCCGCAAGGGCAGCGCCCACGCGGCCGAGGTCTTGAGGCCCGGGGGGGGGGTCGCCGGCGGAGCGCGTGCCACGGCCGCAGCCGTGGGCCACAGCCCCCGGCTGGCGGCGCGCGCGGGGCGGCGGCGATCACACAGGGTATGCTTACGCCGGGGTGTGGTTTGCGATCGGCACCGCTGGTGCCCAGGGAGCACGACGCGGAGGAGGAGGAGGAGGAGGAGGAGGAGGAGGAGGAGGAGGAGGCTGGCCTCCTCGAGGCGTGGCGGAGGGCTCTGTCGAGCTCCCCGTCCGCCCCGCGGGGGTGTGTCCCCCTGGGCCCCAGGGGGCCTGTTGCAAGCCAAGCCCTTTGCAAATCACGCCCAAACCACGCCCAGAAGGAGTCGCCGTCGGGCGGTGGTGCGAGGGGCTGCGGCCTTCTCAGAGTCGGCGGTGGGCCCAGGGGGGAAGTGCGAGGGTGCGGGCCTGCTCAGGAGGCCCGGAAGCCCTCCAGCCTTCTGAGGAGTTCTCGAATACTTCCCCCGAAGACGCATAGAACATTTCTGAGAAGGCCGGGGGCTTCTGAGCAGCCCCGCCGCCTTCCGGGAAGGCCTCCTCCCTGTCATGTCCGCCCCGCGCTCGCCGCCGAAGGGAGGCGGGAGGCCTCCTGCCCTGGGATCCTGGCGTCCTCTCCTCGTCTCGCGCCGGGCGTTTTCACCGGATCTGGGGCCTGGGCCCCTGGAGGATCGGTCCAGCTCGAAAACATCTCAGAAAGATGAGGCCCGGGGCTCCAGTCGTTTGCCTGCGATGCTCAGTGTTCCCATCGCGTTTTGCAGCTGTTTGTCGTGATTTGCCCTTCGGTCTTCGATGGGAGATCGAAGTTCAACTTATGCAACAGAGGGCCTCGTTCCTTTCGGGGGCGGCTAAGAGGGGGGTGATGGCTAGGGGGGAGGGGATATCATGGCGTGGGCCATGACATTTCCCCTGATTTCATGGCGCCTTTTCTTCTTCGTCACGTCCCTTGCCCCCCCCCCCCCCCCCCCCCCCCACCCCCCCCCCCCCCCCCCTTGGGCCGCGCACATGCCGCCGGCCACGATTTGCACCCCCCCCCCCTCTTGGACGCCCCCCTCTTGGCCGCCCCCGCTCCTTACTTGGGGGGCCCGATGGCAGCGCTTCGACTGCAGAGTGCCGCCCGCCTCGGAGGGCCACCGCCGCGTGCGCGCCGCCCGCGCTGCTGGAGCTGCTCGACTGCTCGACTGCGCCCTGGCGCGGCCTCGTCGGGCCTCGGCTCCTCCGCGGTCGGCCCCCCCTCCGCTCGTGTGAGGTCGGGCACGTCCCTCCACAGGAGGAGTATTCAAAAGTAGCCACGAAATAGTCGGGGGACGATTTTTTGGGGGTATTTTTTTGTTCAGCACTGCTTGATTTCTTTTTGAGTTTTTTTTGGCTCTCCTCCCAAATCCGCCCGCAGGAGGACATGCTCGCCCTAACTAACGCTCGTGGTGCCGTGTAGCCGTCTGGGGGGCCCGTAGGTGGCCCGGCACTGGTTCCGGCCAGCAGGAAGGGCGGGCAGGCTCGATGCTCCGGGCTCGAGAGGGTTGTTTTGTCATAGAGGGGGCCAAAACAACCTGGGGGTTGATTTGGCCCCTTCCCTATGCATTTATTACTACGAACACATCTTTACATTATACAGAAAACCAGAACAGCGAAATGATTGAACTTATATAGTGGCGCAACAGAAATCCGCTTCTTTTCTGCTGCAGAAAAAAACCTTTTGTATATTGCAGCAAAAGATATTCTTTTTATATCACGGCATTGACAATATGCTGTTTAATCACATTTGCAGAACATCATCAAAAAACTGTGTGTTTCACAGTTTTTTATATAATTCTATACTCTTCTTTCAAAAACAATTGATTTCTTTTGTGTTTTCTCAGTTTTTTTTTAGAACAGCTTTTTTTTAATAAAAAAAAAAGTTTCTCTGTGCCGGCTCAGTTTTTTAGTTTTTTCAATGATTTCCAAACTATGGAAGATCTTCTCCTATAGTCTGGAAATCATTGAAAAACTAAAAAAACTGAGCCGGCACAGAAAAAATAATGTTTTTTTTTTTATTAAAATTTCCTAAACAAACTGAGAAAACACAGAGGAAATCCATTGTTTTATAAAGAAAACTATGGAATTATTTTAAAAAACTGTGAAAACACAGGTTGTCCTCCTCCTCCTCCTCCTGCTCCTTCTGCTCCCCTTCTCCCTCTTTTTCGTCCCCTCCGCTCCTTCCTCCCTCCGTCCCTCCCTCCCCTCTCTCCGACGGTTATTACGTCTACTAAGAGCACCACAGATCCTACGAGCACCACGAAGACGGCGGAATGGAGCGCGAAACGCAGCAACATTCATAATCAACAGGCTTCAAATCTTTGCATGTGGTAAAATTGAATTCAATAGTTTTGGCCGTCGAAACACCCCTCGCGCAACATTCCAAAAACGATCTGCATTTTCCTTCAGGCCAATCAAGGATTGGGCTTTCTGGCTTCTTAGTCCACACGTCCACCCACTCTGCATATTGCCCTTCATTGTTTGAAGGCGGCCGATTCTTACGCATGAATTGATACCCAGCAGATATCTTGTTGAAATCTATTGTTTTTTCTGCATCGTCACCACCCCACTTGCCATATCGAACCTGGAATCCTCCGAGGCCATCAAAAATCTGTTTGAAATATTTTCTTTGTATCCCAGGGGTGGTGCGGCCACCAGTAATGACAATACACACCGCCGCGCGCCAGATAATCTTGTATTTTGACGACTTTCTGCGCTTCTTCGAACATGATGTGTTTGATAACGTGCCATTTATCTCCAGCAGGCGCAATCGCCAATTGCATGGTGTACGCGATTTCCCACGAGCTCGACGGACCGAAAGGAGAAGGCAATCGATTAGATGATCCCGCTTGCATGCGATGCGCAATCAAACCCTTCACGTGATCGTTTGTATTTGCCATCCCATTGGCTGCTCCATTCGCTATTTCCATGGAGCTCGTTCGCCTGAGCTTTCAATCTAACTTTGGCATCATCGTCGAACTGACCATCCCAATCCATGATGCAATCTACAGCCCACTTGCTTTTTTGATTGAAATTGGTTGGCGGAAACATATAAATGGGCAAATCTGCAACCTCAGTAATCGCTGGCGCATCGAACTTAATTTGTGGATTGACAGCAGTATACTTTAATGCGTCGTTCTTGACATTTCCATGTACAGTTGCCAGAATCTCATTTGTTCTACCAGGGACTTCTATGGTAACTCCTAGCGTTTTCATACCTCTACATGACACATTAGCCATGAACTAACTCGCGTGCCAACTATAGGTTGGCGTATTTTCGTTGCCCTGTTGATCTGAGCCACTTATGACATGCGAGGGAGAAGGGGGGCGTGGGAGGAGGCGAATGATGAAATCAATATATGGGAGTACGAGGGGAGAGGCAGGTAGTAGGGCCTCCTCATTCTCCTCTCTCCTGAGCGCAGCTATCTTCGCTCCAACCAAAAGGTGAGTCACACCATGTCGCACCGGCAGACAGCTCATCGCACCGGCAGACAGCCCATCGCACCAGCAGACAGCCCATCGCACCGACAACCGTGTAACTGTTGTGTCGCACCAGCACATGCCAGATCGCACAAGCATTTTCCTCATCCGTGTTGTCTTCCCTTCGCCCTCATAAACCTCCTGTTCCTTCATGACGAGTTGGAAAGGAAGAGAAGAGAGGAAGGTTTTTAGTTGAGGCGCAAGTTGCCGTCGAGGGGAGGGTGGGAGGGAGGGAGAGAGGGAGGGAGGGAGAGAGGGAGGGAGAGAGGGAGGGGAGGGGGGGGGAGGGAGGGAGGGAGGAAGGCCAGATCTTCGAGGTCGTGTTTTTGTTCGGTACGCGACCCCTGGACCTCTCGAGGTCTTTTCGGAAATAGTTTTTCGTTTCCCATGGCCCGTCGAAGACGAGCGCTCAACCGAAAACTAACAAGATCGACAAAAGGAATCTCCAGGAGCGTGGCCGGTAATAGCTGCGGCGGCCGGGCGCCGCGCCTCGCCTCCTCCCCCCTCCTCCTCTCCCTTCCCTCCTCCTCCCCCTCCTCATCTTTGCCTCGGCGGCCTCTCGCGCGGCGGGAAGCCCAAAGGCAGCAAACACCAAGGGACTGCACAGGCGCGGCGGCCCCTTGACAGAGCCCAAAGGCAGCATACACCAAGGGACTCCACAGGCGCGGCGGCCACCCGAAAGAGGCCAAAGGCAGCAGACACCAAGGGACTCCACAGGCGCAGCGGCCGCGAGGATCCCTCCTCTTCCTCCCTCCTCCTCCTCCTCCTCCTCCTCCTCCTCCTCCTCCTCCTCCTCCTCCTCCTCCTCCTCCTCCTCCTCCTCCTCCTCCCCACCCTCCCCTCCCCTCCCCTGCCCTCCCCTCCTTCCCTCTCTCCCCCCCTCCCTCCCCTCGACGGCATACTGCTCTGAAAATAAATCGTAGGAGTGGGGGCCAAATCAACCCCCAGGTTGTTTTGGCCCTCCCTCTCTTTTTTGTTGGGTTTGTTTTTTCTCGGTGTCCGGGGGCCGCTTTGGAGCCCCAGGACTAGAACAAATTGATCCGGGTTGCCAAATTGCAGCAAATGTTCGGTGTCCAGGGGCCGTTCTGAAGCCCCAGGACCGTAAACATGGATCCATGATGCCAAATTGCATCAGATGATCAGATGGACCCCAGAAGTGGTTCGGGCCGGTGACCGATTTTGAACGGATTTGAATTCATCCCCCTTCCTGGCCAACTCAGAACCAGTTCAGACCTCCTGGCCGTATCCAACGTGCTGCCTTCCTTTGGCCCTCGCGTCGTTCGCTCTTCGGGTCCTCGTTCGGTCCTATTTCGTCGCTTCTCGCGACTGCAGTGCCAGGGAGCTGAGGCCAGCTGTCAGCACACGCGACATCCAGCCGCTCCAGTTTTTGTTGGTGCGTGGGCCTGGGAGGTCTGGAGCACTTTCCTATAGGGCCGGCTTTTAGTGATGAGTCGTTTTCTGACAGTCCTGAGGCCAAGCGAGGGCCCCCAGGGGCTGAAAATGGCCCAGTCCCGCCGCTCCCATTTAGCCGAAGCGTCCGATCTCTGGTGAGCCGAGGCTCGACGTCGGCCCACGTGCGACGAGAGTCCTGCGTGTAGGGATCCGCCTGGCCGGGATCGGCGCACCAGGCACCTCCAGAGCACGGGCAGCTCGCTCCGGACCGAGGGGTGGCCCTCGGCGCCCAGTGGCTCGCTCCCGGACGTGGCCGCGGTGCCCTGGCCCAGGCAGCTCGCTCCAGACCCGGCGGCTCGCTCCAGGTCGCTGCAGCGAGCAGCGACCTGAGATCCGACGCGTTTCTCGCAAGATTGAGGCGGCGGGTTGCCTGCAGTCTTCGGCGTCCGGGCGCCCTCGCTGGGCCCCGGGACCGGCAAAGGACGGCTCAGGAAGAGAACCCGGCCCTATGCAGAGAACGGGGCCCAAACGTCATGGGGACCCTGTGGGACCACGCATCGCAAAAGTTGGTGCGCGCGGACGTGCGGCAACGAGCAGTTCTCGAAGAAGAACTCTTGCGTGAACGTCGGGTCTGGATATTCGGCGTGGCGTATCAGTCTACCGGTTCTGACCCTCCACGCGCGGGTGCGACACACGA